GCTCGGCCTGTCACGCCGTCTTCGCCCGTGGCTCGGCCCGTCACGCCGTCTTCGCCTGCAGCTCGGGTTCGCGACGCCGTCCTCACGTCGCCTTCATCCGCGGATCGGCCCGCGACACCGGCCGCGCCACGGCCCACTATGCCGGGCTCGCCATCGGCCCGGTCTGGGATGCCGGAGTCGCCAGCTGCTTCGTCTGCTCTGCCGGTTTCGCCGGTGGGCCGGCCTTCTTCGCCGACTGAGTCCGAGGCTACCGTGCCTGGCTCCTCGTCACCGGCTGACTCGTCAACATCGCCGTCCTCCAGCCCGTTGCAGGCTGCTCCGTCGACCTCGGTGGTTCCTGTGTCTCGACCACATACACGCAGTCGCAGTGGCATTTTCAAACCTAAGGAACGTACGGATGGTACGGTTGCTTGGTTGGCTGCTTGTTTGGCTGCTGCTGTTGCGGATCCATCTTCTGAGCCTCGCTCATATCAGGCTGCCCTGCGCATTCCACATTGGCGAGAGGCTATGGAGCAGGAGTTTCATGCTCTTCTTCGTAACAAGACATGGACTCTCGTTCCTCCACCACCACGGGTAAATGTTATTGACTCAAAATGGGTATTCAAAGTGAAGAAGCATTCGGATGGATCTATTGAGCGTTACAAAGCGTGACTTGTTGCTCGCGGTTTTCGGCAGCGTCATGGTCTTGACTATGAGGACACCTTCAGTCCTGTCGTCAAGCCTACCACTATTCGGCTTCTTCTCTCCATTGCTGTTTCTCGTGGTTGGTCACTTCGTCAACTTGATGTGCAGAATGCTTTTCTACATGGATTTTTGGAGGAAGAGGTTTATATGAAACAGCCGCCTGGTTTCTCTGATCCTGATCGTCCTGACTATATCTGTTGTCTTTCCAAAGCACTATATGGTTTGAAGCAAGCTCCTCGTGCCTGGCATGCCCGCCTTGCCTCTGCCCTTCGTGCTCATGGGTTTGTGCCGTCCACTGCTGACACTTCATTATTTCTTCTACAGAAGCCAGAAGTCACTATGTATCTTTTGGTATATGTCGATGATATTATCCTTGTCAGCTCTTCTCAGTATGCTGCTGATGCTCTTGTCTGCTCTCTTGGTGCTGATTTTGCGGTCAAAGATCTTGGGAAGCTTCACTACTTTCTTGGAGTTGAGGTCACTTCTCGTGCTACTGGTCTTGTCCTTACGCAGAAGAAGTACTCCTTGGAGTTGTTACAAAAAGCCGGCATGCTGAAGTGCAAACCGACCACCACACCCATGTCGTCTACCGACAAGATAACATCTGTTGATGGTGAGCTTTTGTCTCCTGCGGATGCCACAGAGTACAGAAGCATTGTTGGTGGACTTCAGTACTTGACGATCACGAGACCAGATATCTCTTATGCTGTTAACAGGGTTTGTCAGTATCTTCAGGCTCCCAAAGATACTCATTGGGCTGCTGTTAAACGCATTCTTCGTTATGTTCAGTTCACCCTGACTTTTGGTATGCATATTCGGCCGACTTCCTCTCGGGTCCTTTCGGCCTTCTCTGATGCAGATTGGGCTGGTAGCCCAGATGACAGGCGATCCACGGGGGGTTATGCAGTATTCTTTGGCTCTAATTTGATCGCCTGGAGTGCTCGGAAACAGGCTACTGTGTCACGTAGCAGTACTGAAGCTGAGTACAAGGCTGTGGCTAATGCTACTGCAGAGATTATTTGGGTGCAGTCTTTGCTTCAGGAGTTGGGTTTGTCTCAACCACAGCCTCCTATTCTTTGGTGTGATAACATCGGTGCTACATACCTTTCTGCAAATCCAGTATTTCATGCCCGAACGAAACACATTGAAGTTGACTATCACTTTGTACGGGAACGTGTATCACAGAAGCAACTTCAGATCAAGTTTATCTCGTCTAAGGATCAACTTGCAGATATCTTCACTAAGCCTTTACCACTGCCACAGTTTGAGGCTTGTAGGCGCAATCTTACCCTTCTCAGTTCTTTAGAAAGTGGCTAAGATTGAGGGAGGGTGTTAGACTATGTATAACTTCTGTACCTATGTACGTATTGTAACACAACCATTATATATAATGAGATAAGCCACCCCTAGAGGGTTGTGCTGGTTCCCAAAACTTATTGTCTTACATGGGTCCACTTGGTGTTCGAGCTGATGATGAAATGTCCATGGGGATGATAGTAGGATGCTCCGCATCACCTATCCTCTGTGTCAATGATGCTTGTGGCGACCACTTTCAACGCGTGAGCGTATGAACCACCAGTCTCATCTTTGCATTATGTCCAGCAACATCATCTTCGTCAACGTCATCACCAACTTAAACTAGGTGCAGTTGCTCCCATGAGCACTCGGAGGCTGGTTAACCTGGACTACAAAACTTGGGTAAACTTGGAGCCTTGGATGTTATGCAATGTGCTGTCCCGAAACAACCAGACAAGAACAACAATCTCAATCTTCAAATTCGTAATCTCCTCAGTGTTCCAGTATTCAATATAATCTGTTATTCCTGGTGCACGATGAACATACTCTTCCCATGGTGGATCCACAAGAATAACATCAAACTTTGTACCAAAAAATTCTGGAGAAAGAACATGTTGCCGTAGATCACACTTAAAATACATCGGTGGTGAAGCAGTGTTAGTAACAATTTCGTCCTTCCTCTGTATGAGTTCTCTCAATTTTGGATATTCCTCCGCTGCACTTGTAAGATCCAGTTGGTTAGTTATGATGTACGGTATAGCTAGACCATGAAAGACCGTTGATGGAAATACCAAATTCATTTTTGCAAAGGACCTGAAAGGATTTCTTGCAGGATAAAGCCATTTTGCAAAGGACTGGTTTTCATAGGATTACACACAGCTTTTGTATCTACTAATTGGAAGTGTCTCTCTTGCACCATGAATTCCTCGCAAACTTATTTAATGCTTCTCCGCAGCTTCAAATCCAGTTATTTTTTCGACTGAAGGGGCATCACTCCCAATTAGAGAAAAGGCTTTGGAAGAAGTTTCGAACGAATTTGGCGAAATTGACAATTTTCGATGGGAAGTGAAACACAACAAAGTTGATAAAAAAATCCTTTGAGATTTTCGGTAAGCAGTCCCAGTTTCGCTAACAATAAAAATGATGAAAAGAAAAGAGCATCTGCAGAGATGTCCAGTAGACCTACCTTCAAATCCAGTCTAAGGTAAAACTTACAAGGCTTTCATAATCGGGGTGGGTCGCCATGTGTGGTTGGGACACCCGGGAGACCTTCCATCCGTCCCTGTAAACATTGTGACGAATTAATAAAAACTTCGCGAGGTTGTCTCAAAAAAAAAAAACTAAAGCAAAGAGAAGGCAAGGAAAAGCGGGAAAAGCGACAGAAGAGACAGGAGTAAAGAATGTCCTGGAGAGGTAACTGAACTTGGTCCATTGGATGCGTCTTGCACGGCAAGGATCGCCAGATAACGGTTCGCATCACTCTGTCCGAAGTGTACAGAGGAAATCCACAGTTTCAGTCAAGTTCAGCAGGTTCAGAGTTGATCTTGGGCCTGACACGGCGATGATCCTTCTCCGACGCTGCTCCTCTGACTGGGTGGCGAAGGGTGCCGCTCCCTCTCCGGCAAGCTATCCAATGGGGCCTCGCTCTGAGACGAGTGCCAGGGTGATGGCGGCAGCAGAGTGCGGGGAAGGCAAACAAACAAATCTTAAGAAAAAACAAACTTCAGAATCATCAACTACTCCAACCAAAAATTACAGAGGGTTTCATCTTGTTTTCTTCTACAGATAATCAAACATCTGACTGGCCACCGCATTCTGAAAAACATCTCATCTTATGACCCTCAAAATATTGCGGCCACCTGCGACCTTGGTATCTCTTTTTTTAAGGATCTTGGATCTCATGTAGTCACACAGAGATCTAAAAGAAGCAATTCCTGTTAGTATGCAAAAAGATGGTGGTTCATACTCGGTAGTCATGTAAATGCAGAGAAATGTACTAGGAGCTGCAGGAATGCCTAACAACAAGCGGAACTTTAGACCAGAAAGACTTGACATGTATACCGTCGAACCAGAACCGTGAAGGCCAGGCAAAATGGCAGCAAGCCCACGCTAAGCCTTTAGCATAAACGAGCAAGGCTGATACTTTTTTGAGGTAACCTGAAGGGTTTTCTCCCGACTGTATTTTTGTACTAATATTTATAAGTTATGAATACAGAGCTGACGACATCAATCAACTGAGATAGCTGATGTTAAACTGAAAGCTACACAAAGCCTAGAAGGTAAAAAAGAGGTAGAAGAAACCACAGCAGAAGGATCTGGCCAAATTCTCGAAACAAGGCCGGTACTTAAATGTGTATTATCCTCATCATCAGTATCAGAGTACGATCTTCGTTGAACAACAGGAGTCGGGGCATTTCCTCAAAGACTGGATCTGCTGGCCTCTGAGACTTCCAAGGTTTATCCTCCTAGTCCTCATCCAGCTCCTCCTTCTCCTCCTCCTCATCATCCTCGTCCTCATAGTCATCATCCAACTCTTCCTCCTCTTCCTCCTCTCATCATCAGCATCGTCATTCTCGTCCTCATGATCAGCATCCAACTCTTCCTCATTATCGCCCTCCTCCTCTTCCTCATGATCCTCGTCCTCCTCTTCCTCATGATCCTCCTCCTCCTTCTCCTCAACGTCACAAGTATCGGGATTTTGTTCAAGTGCAGGAGTTGTTAGAATAAGTCCGAGGCCACCGTCGATCTACCGATGATCAAGCAATCACACCAGCACGACACCGAGGTTTGTTAACGAGGTTCACCGATATGGCTACATCCCCGGGGCATGACTACGGGCGCTCCTCCCCATGACTCCGTCACAATACCGCACCCGGCCGCCCGGGCGCCGGCACACGCCGCCGGCTCCCCCGCGTACCTATGCTATTATGTTGGCATTGATAACATCGTGTGTCTTGCCCTGCTATATATGGGAGGCCTAGGATACAAGTATCCTACCAGGACACGACTCCATATCCTGCCTACACACCATACAACTCCAAGTCCAACTGTAACCTAACTTGTACAATAATATTCGACACAACTCTAACAGGAGTCGGACCCATTTCTGGAAAACAAGATCTGCTGAGACCTAAAGGTTGACGATGAATGGTGGCTTTGAGCATGATGTCGTTTTCATCATCAGAAACCTTTCCCTTGGGAAGTATCAAGTCATACACTGTCGGAAGCCCATCAGAGAGTGAAGAGCTCCTTATGTGGCAGCTTGTACTTCCACAACAGCCGGTCGTTAGGCAGTCGTAGCTCATAGTACACGCGAACCTGAATTCCGTAACGTTTGGTTGGACGCAGACGACTGAGATGGCATGTCCAAAAGGCTTCGTTGCCATGCTGAGCAAGAAAAAATAGCTGGTGTCGGTGCATTGCAGAACATGTAAGCCCGGTTTTAGGCGGAGAGACACCGTGCCAGAGTCTGGAAGGTTTGTAGACGGACACTTGTGCTGGGCAGCGAAATGGTCCAGGAGCATCTTTGTTGGCCCAGCGAATTCACAACCGGGCTCTGGGCAGAAGCATGGGGCATTCGGGCATGCTTTCTCGTGTTCTTCTTTCTTGTAGTAGGTGAACTTCTCCGCGCATCCGTACTTGTCATTGGAGCAAGCAACTGTGACTGACTGGACGACATGTTCCATTCCAAAGCAGCGCTTGAAGGAAGTTTTGGCAGAGCATGTCGGGCACTTGTAGTCCAGTTGATCCTCACGTTCACGGCACGAGGAGCATATGAAATGCCCCACAGAGCACTGCAGAATAGAAAGAATTAATTGGATCATCGTAAGAGTAAATCTTACCAGCGACAAAGAATTGAAATACCACACGACAACATGATAGGTAACCACCACAGACATTCCATCATTTGAGCTAACATAGCGACTATGTTATGTTTACACAAGAAACAATTTCTTTCCAATTAAGTAGCACTACATCCAAAAATAAATTCATCCAAGCTCTACTTTTAACTTCTGCTTTATCATGAATGAAATAAAAGGTTGAGTTCAAAGACAAGTGAACACGCACATAGATGCAGTACCTGGAATATCGGAGGCCTGAGGGGTGCAGAGCAGATAGTACAGTCAAGGGTCTCCAACCCCACGGTGACATTCAGCTTCTTGGAGCTGCTCCCCCCCTCTCGCTGCGCTTCAACTTTTCTTTTGCTGGAGCTACTACCGTTGATCGCCATTTGCCAACGAAATTCCAAGGTTCCCGCACTATCTTTCTTGGTGTGTACTGCTAGAATCACAGACGCAAACCGAGATCCAAACCTATTGATCAACACAATCTCCCTGCTCCTTTCACCTGTTCCACGAGACGCACTAACAGAAGTCATGGAACTGGTAGTTGGTCTGGTGCTGCAGGCATAAGCTAGAAAGGCAATTGTTTTGGGCAAAATACCAAAGGAAACTGCAATTTAACACATATGTTGGTTTCTTGTTTGAAGAAGAAAGTATTTGAGATATAAGAGCGACAATGCATAATAATCTGACAAAGAAACTGTAAAAACAAGAGATTTATTCCGATTCAGATGCAGGCAGTGCGACCCTGGCAATTAAGGGAAGGTTACGAATCTAGAAGGACGCAGCTAGCCGTACCTGAACTACCTGGTCGCCCACGTTGTCTAACCACTGCAAGACCTGGTCGGCGTCGAGGTCGCCGTTTCCTGATGGTGGCGCCGCCGGAGAGGAGATCGCTTGCCTCGGGTGACCTCCTACTCCGAGGAAAGAGGGGAGAAGACTGATCGTCCCTTGCCGGCGAGCTCTCCGACGGACCCCGCCGCCCGCTCTCGTCGACCTGAGCCTGATCGGAGAGACGGAGCGGGGAAGAGGAGGCCAGCGCGAGAGGCGAGAGGTGTACGAGCTTGGAATATGGGCCTGGGCGTCTTCTCGGTTATTTGGGTTTATATAAAACATGCTTAATTTTACCTCTTTTTTTTTGGCAAATTTCAAAGAACACGATTAGTTTCAAAATTTCAAAAATCAAGTCCTGTTTCAGCTTTATAATTTGGTAAACATTTGTGTTCACCCGGCTGATCTTTCCGTACGCGTGGACCGCCTCCGTGGGCGTTCGATCTATTGTTGATCGGACGGTTAGGAGCCACCTTCACCTACTTCACATTTTTACAACTTCACCCATGTTTCAGAAGCGTTTCTGCAACTCAGCACTTGCTGTAGATAGACAATATGGCCAACCACGTCCGTACTCGCGCCCGTCCGCTCCAGCAGCTGTCGTTCGCCAGCGAGGCACTTGCTGTAGATAGACTACATGGCCAAGCATGGCCTATAACTAAGTGAATCTACCCTTTCCTAACCTACACTGCCCTTGCAACAGATGTGTCCCTTCTTTCTCTCTTCTCCCAACCATCGTGATTTCTCGTCTATGACAGTTGCTGTAAAATATCTGCGTATTATATACCCACAGAAATAGTGTCAATCAATCAAGAAAGATCAGTTGATTATTTACTCAAAACACTTTTGACCACAAGCTAAGTTAAACCCATTGGGCCGGAACTCTCCTCTTTTAGTCGTCTCGGTTCTTTTTTTTTTTGCTTAATTCACCTCTCTTTTATTTAATATAGTAAATTTAATCCATGTCTAGCTATGCCTATAGATATATGCGGGTATATTTTAGTTATTTTGAACTTGGAACTATAACATGTAGGGACCAACTTGGAACTATAACCTGCTATATATGTCATCATATCGTTAAAAACAATAGTACTATACCAGCAGTATTACCACTAGGGGACCACTGATCTTTCTGGTTCTGGGGCGAATCACTGACTCTGACAGTGCATCATCCTTCAATCTAGGGTGAGAGGGTAGTGGCCCTCTACAAAGGTAGAGAACGATGACTTGATAATTTGGCATGGCCAACCGAGACTGGTCGAGGGCACGTTTCCTTTGGCGGATCCTCCTTTCAAGACATGTGCTTCCTTATTGGTGTTGGCCATAGAGGTGGACGATAGCCTCGACAATGCAAGTTGCGCTTATTTTCTCTTTTTTGATGTTTTTTTTTGCCGTCATTGCCTGTGAGATGTTTTACATCACTTTTTGTATATATTGCTTTTTTTTTTCTATAAGTTGTTGGTTGTCGCAATTTTTGGTCGATTAATGACTTTGTTAATTCAAAACTGGGCTCGTCTCGAGACTCATTTCAAAAAGAGAAGAGCAAAGCACATCAACAACATGTTAGCAGCTATGGTAGTGCTATGCATGGTGGCGACGAGCTGACATCGAAGTGGTCGGTGCTAGCAGCGCCAATCTGCCTTTTGATGCCTAAATGTTTGCCCGACAACATCCCCATGATCGCCGCACTGGTGGTGTTCGCCTCAGTGACAACTGCGTCCATGGCGTGGATCGTCCTCGGGGCTCGGGAGCAGTGCAAGGTCCTCCCGGTGCTACATTGTATTAGTCACCGTCGCATGCTTGATGATGGACGACATATGAAAATACTTTTTTTGTGTTCACTGGCATCGCAATCCTATTTTAAAGGTTCGATGCATCTTAGATTTCTTCGAGACATGCACCGTGATATCTTGGGGCACATGCATATCCATTCTTCTCACAGTACCCATCGGTAAGATACATTTCCGTCCTTCTCGTAAGCATACCACTTTTCTTTCTAATAATGTAGTATGTTCTGATCCCCCGAGTGTGGTACGTAATGCTCAAGTTCCACAAAAAGTTTTCCTATAATATTGCACTGCTTGGACTATTTAACGTATCCGCCAACGTTACGATACACCTCTCCATCCCAAACCATCGAGGTACGGATGCAAACAAAAGTTCTGCCTCTAAATTCCCTGCAACCCGATGATTCTAATTGCACTGCTTACATCCATAACTTCGTCCAAGCTTGAGGGTGGGGGTGGGAGTGGGGGGAATGCCCCCACCCCCAAACAATACTATTATATTATACTATCAAACTAGCAGAATTACCCGCATATTTGCGCGACTAGATTTTATGTGTACTTCTAACGGACCATACGATCTCTATTATATGATTTTGACTAATATTTTCATATGAACATGCTTTTGTAATATCATAAATGATAGTACTATGAGAAAGAGACTACAAAGAAGTTAAATATTTTTTACTTTAAAATTATTGTTTAATTTTGTAAATTTTGAATGCACACGTTATTCCCATTATGTGCTTTTATGATTTTCATTGCATATATAATTCGACAACCAAGGAGGAACTCCTTGGCATACTTCCTTTAAAGCATCTTTCTCACGAAATTACAAACAAGAGTTCAATCAAATATCGCTGTCTAAAGTCAGAACATTTCACTTTTTCTCCACTTATCTCATATTTAGTGGCAATGCTATGATACATTACTTGATTAGTCTAATATCATCCATCCATATGCCCCAAGACTTATTAAATATTTGACATGATTTGTTTGCATCCAAGTATTTAAGTTGGTGTGCCTCACAACACTATGTCTCTCTTACAATAAGCTTGCTGTACATGCATCACATCAGAATACAAATACGAAGTATATACATCCGGCAACGTTTTGTTGCTCCGAGTGCCTTTTGCCTTCCCCAGGATATACTTCAAAACCATGATGTAATCCAAATGAAAGAGCAATATCGCCATGCAAGATATCCAATAGATCGTAGCTTCTGATAGACAATATGTATATACGTCTGAGCTCACATTTTATGGCAATATCATTATAATGAATTATCAGTGGCATGTGTTCTACCCCCGCAAAAAAAAAGTGGCATGTGTTCTAGCATATGTAACTAACTTAATTGAGTAATGTAAGTTCTCAATTTTTTTTTTGAATAATGTAGACCACAGTTTGCAGCAAAAAAAGAGAGTGAAAATAGTGGATTGTCTCCTGATCCAGTACCTATGCATAGCATGCAGCCAATTTTTGCAGGCCCTACTATATGAATTACCAAAGGTAGACCACCACCAATTGAATAGAAAATAGTAGAGCTCACATTTTTAGACACTCAAAAAAAGTTATTGTTCCAGAAACATAGACTATAAAATGTTCGCGGAAAATAGTAGAGCTCACATTTTTAAAAAGTTTGCAAATACTATAAAATGGTTATGAATTAATTTTTTTCTTGATTTTAGAAATTTTTAAAAAATTTGTAAAAGTGTTCATGAATTTGAAAAAGTTCATGATTTCAAATATGTTGACGGTTTTAAAACAATGTTCACAATTTCACGAAATTGAGAGTGATGTTATATATCGGTGACGCAACAAAATGTGATCATGTCCATTGGAGATTATAATTTTTTTCTCCCCTTGCAACGCAGGGCCCTTTTGCTAGTAATAATAAAGGGGCTATTGCTTCTTGTGATACGTCATGGAAATTTCCCTCAAAGTTGCAAAATATTATCCATCAATGTCACCTATTAGTGATAAAAAACACGTTTCACACAGGGGATCCTCCGCCTGGACCGGCCCATGCAGTATGGACCTCCTATACCGCGCTCTGTGCGTTGGAAGAAGACGCAGCACGCCCGTTTGGGTTGGGTGGCCGTTTTTTGATATTTCATTTTTACTCATTATTTTTCTTTCTCATTTTAATTTTTTCTACTATAAATAATTTGGGACTACAGAAAAGTTTGGAAAATTAGAAAAACTGATAATTTTGAAATAAAATGTTTGATAAATCACAAATTTTTTGTGGATTTAAAAATATTCACGATTTTATGACAAATGCTTGCTTATTCAAAAAATGTTTGAAAATTTGAAAATGGCAAATCAAAAAATATTCATGATTTCTTTGAAATTTTCGTGCACTGAAAATGTTAATGAAATTCCTTTTTTTGCCAAGTCAAAAATGTTTGTGAATGGAAAAAATCCTAAAAATTCAAAAACTGTTCGTGACTTACAAAATGGTATATCCATTCATAAAATGTGCACTGATTCAAAAATGATCATGCATTTCAAAAAATGTTCGTTAAATAAAAAAATGTTCTTGAATTTCACAAATTGTTCCATAAATTTGCAAAACAATGCTCGTCCATTCTAGAAATGTTCGCAGATTCGAGAAAAATATTAAATTCACAGTTTATTTATTTTTTGCAAAAATATAAAATGTTCATGAATTCAAAAAATGTTCTTGATTTTATAAAATGTTTGAAAATTTGTAAAAGTGTTCATGAATTTGTAAAATGTTCATGATTTCAAATATGTTAATGAGTCTAAAA